TTTTTTTTTTTTTTTGGTGGCACTAGGGTGGAACCCAGGGCCTTTTGCACTATAGACAAATGTTCTTCCACTGAACTACACCCTCTGCATCCTTTGAGCCTCCCTTCCAGAGATGGTTCTGCATCTCTGCCTCTCTCCCTGTGTCCGTCTGTTCTGTGGAGTCTGGCTGTCGGTGTCAGTGTCAAGCCTCTTGTTCCCAGATGACCTGCCTCTGTTGTTCTTTCTCCTGCTGTTCTTTCTGCCTGGCTGCATCTCTGGGGCACCTTGCTCTACCTGTGGTCCTGATTCTTCAGGATTCTCTGTGAAGAAGTAACCAGGTGAGACCCCAGGACCAGACTGCTGGACCATGGGCCCCATCTCCCCTCCAAGCAGCTCAGCACCTTTCTTTGGCAAACTCCAGCCAATCCCACCCACACAAACCCTTTTCTGAGTCCCTCCTAAAGATGACTCAGAGACCAAGGGAAGCAGATATCCAAGGGGGGAGAGTAGGACCAGGCAGGGCCCTACTTGGGTGGAGATAGGAGAATGACAGGACCTGGTGGGGCAGAGTTGGGGCCCAGAGGGCAAGGCCACCTATGGAAGTTTGGGCCCACTTCAGGAGCAAAGAGTCCGACCCCCATCTCAGCCTCAGAAGAGCCACACAATGGCAGACTCCCAGATGGCCGACTTTGGGGAGGCTGCCCCATACCTGCGGAAGTCAGAGAAGGAGCGTCTGGAGGCCCAGACTCGGCCTTTTGACATCCGCACTGAGTGCTTCGTGCCGGACGACAAGGAGGAGTTTGTCAAGGCCAAGATTGTGTCTCGGGAGGGGGGCAAGGTCACTGCTGAAACGGAGAATGGAAAGGTACATGGGGCACAGTAGCGGGGGGGGCTGGTATTAGAGGAAAGGACAGGCCAGGGGCCAACTGGTAGGGGTGCCAGGAGGCCAGATCTGAGCCTTCAAAGAGGGGCCAGGCCAGGTACATCACATCTTGCCAGAAGGGATGCTGAGCAGGGTCTGGAGGAGCAGCTGTTTGCCTCCTAGGAGGGGCCTTATAGATAAAGAGGCACAGACACAGCATGTTCCTCTTCTCTGTGCCTCAGTTTCTTCCATGGGTCTACTTTTTCAAATTCCCTTAACCTAACCTGGAGCAAATTATTAGACCAGTTCTGAGCTCGGTGCTCAGTGCTGGGGCCAGTGACCAGCATCCAGAGACCACTGCTGCCTGGGTCGCTCAGCCATGAGAATCCCTTTAGGTCACTAGCAGGGCTCAGAGAGAGGGGCCTCACCAGCCTTCTGACTGAATGCTGCATCTGGTTAGGTTGGAATAACAGCCTGAAAGGACTTTGAGTCAGATCTCAGGCCTGCCACTAGCTGGTCACTGTGCTGGCAAATCATGAAATCGGTTGAAGCCACACCTTCATTATAAAATCACTGGAATCCCTTCTGGCAGGGCTTAATGAGATCAGGCCACGGCAAACTGACTGGTGTCAATCAAACCACACTAACACTGACTGGCGGGGAGTGCAGGGCCAAGGCACTGACGCCCCAGAACACTGCCACAGGAGATGGCTCCAAGGTCAGGGTGAGGTACACACAATGCTCAGAGCTGCCAGTCCCCAAGTTTGCCTCTAGATGCCTGGAACATAGGGGTTGGGAGGTGACCATCATTGGACAGCACCTGGAGAACTGGCATGATAAAGGGACTCTGTGTTAGTTTCTAGAGTGGGAGAGAATGTGTGGGAAAATTAGCCAGGAGCTGTGTCCTGGGCAAGCTCTGGGTTTAGGGGCTGGAGCACTGGCTAGCAAAGAGCTAGGGAGCAAGGCTGAATCAAGGATGTGTCCCTGGGAAGAGGTAAGAGGGCAAGGCTGGCAAGCGAGGGCTGACAAGGGCCCTGGTGACAATGTGGTGATCCCATCCTATTACTCTCTAGACAGTGACAGTGAAGGAGGACCAGGTGATGCAGCAGAACCCACCCAAGTTCGACAAGATCGAGGACATGGCCATGCTGACTTTCCTGCATGAGCCTGCAGTGCTGTACAACCTCAAGGAGCGCTACGCGGCCTGGATGATCTACGTGAGTGGTGTTTACATCCTGCAGGGATGCCCTTCCTTCCTGGGTAAAGGCTTAGGTAGTCCAGGGGACTCTCCTAAAAAGACAGAGTAGGGGTTGTTCCATCTGCTCCCCTGTCCATGGCCGGCCAGCTGCAGAAAGAGGAGAGCTAGTTAGAGTGACCCAGCTGCCGCCACTGCCTGGCCTGGACTCTCCTCACCAATCTCACGCCTTTCCTCGCCTCCTGACCCAGACCTACTCCGGCCTCTTCTGCGTCACTGTCAACCCCTACAAGTGGCTGCCAGTGTATAACTCTGATGTGGTGGCCGCCTACCGGGGCAAGAAGAGGAGTGAGGCCCCACCCCACATCTTCTCCATCTCCGACAACGCCTACCAGTACATGCTGACGGGTGAGCCCGGCACCCCAGCCTGTGTCCCTCAGCCCCGACACCCACCTGGGCGCTCAGCCCTCACCCCATTGCCTCTCCTGTTTTCCAGATCGGGAGAACCAGTCCATCCTCATCACGTGAGCAAGCACCATCTACCCACAGGGCCTTGGGGTGGGGTCCTCAGGCTGATGGCAGGGGGTGTGGTTTCAGACTGTGAGTGCAGAGTGTGGGTGCTGGGCTCTTTTTGAAGGGCAAGTCTCAAATAGCACAAGGCTCCTGGGGCCCAGACTGGGAAGGGAAGGGTGTGGGGCACTACACTGTATACGGGCGGCAGCAGGAGTCACAGGTTCTAACTGGTCTTGGTTGGCTGTAGAGGAGAATCTGGAGCAGGGAAGACTGTGAACACAAAGCGTGTCATCCAGTACTTCGCCAGCATTGCAGCCATAGGTGACCGTGGCAAGAAGGACAATCCCAGTGCAAACAAGGTACCATGGGGGCCACAGGTGCAGCAGCAAGGAGTTGGCGGGGCAGGGTCCTTGCAGCATGAAAGACCCTTCCTTCTGGCAGGGGACGCACACTCTGAGGCTGGAGGCCCTTTGGAGCCACAGACCCACAGCTATTTATCCAGCCCCAGCCCACACCCCAGGGCCAAACCAGCCTCGTACCACCCCAAGGAGGTGGGCAGAGGATGAGCCCCACACTCCCACTCTCTTCACAGGGCACCCTGGAGGACCAGATCATCCAGGCAAACCCTGCCCTGGAGGCCTTTGGCAATGCCAAGACCGTGCGGAATGACAACTCCTCCCGCTTTGTGAGTGATCCTTGACTACTGCCAAGGGACCTTGACAAGAAAATAGGGTGCTGTTGAGACAACATCCGGCATGCTCTATTGATTGCGTTTTGTGTGTGTGTGTGTGCGCACACGCACGCGCACACGTGCATGCACACTTGCACATACGGACTCACTCACTCCAAATCCTCCCAACTCAGCCTGGCTCCCTGAGTCCTGAGAACCTCACACAAGAGGCCCAGGGTCAGCACAGCTGTCCACACCCAAGTAACAGAGCTGATTTTGGTCATATTTTAGATTTCTCTTCTGAATGTGTTTTCAAAGCTCTTCTACAGTGGATTGAGAAAAGAGCACAGGCTTTGGAGTCGAAGCCCAGACTCTGTGTGCTGAGCAGGTCCCCACCTCCTTGAGCCCCAGGCCCCTCACCTGTGAAGCAGAGCAGTGGTATCTGAACCCGGTATCACATGAGGTAGCACAAGAGGCACAAAGAGGAGCCATCTATGTGTGTGGATCCCTGGGCGCCCGTTTCCATGCAGGCCCCTGGTGGGATCGGGGATGGGCATCCTTCTCCCTGTTTCACTGATACTGAACTGAGACACCAAGTAGGTCGTTTACATTTCAGAACCATCCAGGATTTGTTAGGTTAAATGGAGGCCCAAGATTTCAATCTGTCCCTTTGTTCTTTTATTCTGTCTCATCTACACACAGGGGAAATTCATCAGGATCCATTTTGGAGCCACCGGAAAGCTGGCTTCCGCAGACATAGAGACCTGTGAGTACCTGGGCATCTGTTCATCCCCTGGGTCCTCCTCCTTTGCCTCATTTTCCAGCTGCGGTCAATCTCTTCATTCCTTCCATCATCTTTTCAGGTATATACACCACCCTTTTGCTGGCTTTACTCTCTTTCCTTCCTCACATGTCCTCCTCCCTCCCCCTACTTCAGATCTGCTGGAGAAGTCTAGGGTGATCTTCCAGCTAAAGGCTGAGAGGAACTACCACATCTTCTACCAGATCCTGTCCAACAAGAAGCCAGAGCTGCTGGGTGAGCCCAGCCTGATCCTGTTGCTTGCTGCCCTCCCCAACACCTGCCTGTGGTGCGGGGGGGGGGGCGCCCTGGAACTGCACTGCATCTTCTTTTTCCTCCCCAGAACACAATCACACACCTTGTCCTCATCTCGCTCCTTTCACTTTTCCCTTGGCATATTTCTCCTGTGCCTGTTGATCTTTTCCTTCTCCGTACTTGCTGTCCCTCCTCCAGAGGTCATCCCCCCACCAGCCTCCCTCTTCCTTACGGTCTGGACATTAGGTCTTCCCTTCCCAAGTGCCTCCTCTAAGCATTCATTGCCTTTTGATTCTCTCCTGGTCGTTGATGTTCTGCTCTTCTCTCCTCACTCCTTGTCCTCTCCTCCTCTGTTCCCCCTCCATTTTCCTCTTCTCCACGTTCCCTGCCTTCTCCTCACCACGTGTTCCTGCCCTCCTCTCCCTTGCTGGGCACAGACATGCTGCTGGTCACCAACAATCCCTACGACTATGCCTTCGTATCTCAGGGAGAGGTGTCCGTGGCTTCCATCGATGACTCCGAGGAGCTCATGGCCACTGATGTGAGTGAGGAGGCTGGGATGGCCATGAGAGGACTCCTGAAAGCTGCCCGGCCACTATCTGGCCACGCTTTGTGTTCCTTTCTCTGTCCCAGAGTGCCTTTGACGTACTGGGCTTCACTCCGGAGGAGAAAGCCGGTATCTACAAGCTGACGGGCGCCATCATGCACTACGGCAACATGAAGTTCAAGCAGAAGCAGCGGGAGGAGCAGGCAGAGCCAGACGGCACCGAAGGTGGATGGGGCAGGCAGGAAGGGCCAAGTAGACCTGCAAGGTTGGCTGGGTGGGAAGGACCCGCTGGCCCATGATGCTGGAGACAGACACTGGGGAGTGGGTCTTTCATGCTACATCAACAATCATTAGAGAACAGGTTGACAAACAGGGTTGTCTGGACACCAGTGGAGAAACTGGAAGGAAATCAGGGGAAATATGGGAAGCAGATGCTCAGGGAGCAGGCCTTTTCTAGGGACAGTTTGAACCCCGCCAGGGCTCTGGCCACTCACCATTTCCAGATGGGAATAGTTAGAAGGGTAGGATGAGGGATGAGGAGGGACAGGGACATGGGTGAGATGAGTAGCCAGGGAGTCCTCCCACAATCACAGCTGCACTAACCAGAAGTGAGTTGGGGTAGGGAAAAAGGGTCACTGAAAGCACTGTGTCCTTTCCTTCACAACCAGATGCAGACAAGTCTGCCTACCTTATGGGGCTGAACTCTGCCGACCTGCTCAAGGGACTGTGCCACCCTCGGGTGAAAGTGGGCAATGAGTACGTCACCAAGGGGCAGAGTGTACAGCAGGTGTATTACTCCATTGGCGCACTGGCCAAGGCAGTGTATGAGAAGATGTTCAACTGGATGGTGGGGCGCATCAACGCCACCCTGGAGACTAAGCAGCCACGTCAGTACTTCATAGGGGTCCTCGACATCGCTGGCTTCGAGATCTTCGACGTGAGTCCAGAGCCCTGGGAGCAGGGACGGTCACTTACTCGCTCATGTGGTCACAGTCACTGTGCAGGGCCAGCTGTGGGCCAGGCTGGGAGGGCAGCAGCAGGAATCACACAGAGCCAC